ACTTTCCCTCATTTATTTCCCATTTCACGCTAGTCATTTTTCTCCTGGCCTGACGGGGAATAATTCTCTCCCTCTCCCCTCTCCTTTATTTTGCCGGAGGGCTTTGAAAGCCTCTAAATCAATGCCCATCAGCCAGGTCCTTGAAGGAGGCTGCAGGAGCCAGGAGGGAGAGTTGGGCCAAAGCCTCCCTTGCAGACAGACAGATGGCCATTCTGCAGGCACATGCCTGTGCCAGGTGTGTATCCTCAGTGCTAGTCACACCCAGCGCACACAGATGCACGTCCCCCACCAACTCTGAATGCACCCAAATGAGGGCACACATGGGCACACTCTTGTCTGCACACAAGCTCTGAAAAATCACTGGGATCATCCTGTGCCTCAGACTCCAGGGGCCATGGCCAGTGCCCCCTCTAGAAGGGGCCCTTGGAAGAATCCTGGGCCACATGCCCTAGTCCCCCTCCAACAAGGAAAACCAACCCTGGCCTGGTGGAGCTGGGAGTGGGAAGAGGAGGAGAGGTTAGTCATTCACCAGCTAAACAAGTCCTTCAACAACAAATATTTTGAAATATGAGGGTACTTCAAAAAGTTTGTGGAAAAACAGAATGAAAGATAAGACAAATCTTTCCATGAACTTTTTGAAGTACCCTCGGATTTTGAATACTTACACTGTGCCTGTTACTGTGCGAGGCACTGGAATTCAACAGTGAACCAGACAGGTGTGATCCCAGCAAGGGAGGCTGATGATGACAATGATGATGACGACAGCTACCATGTATTGACCACCCGCCATGTGCCAGTGTGTCCTGTATTTTGGCTCATTTTAAGTAGCAACCCCAATTCTATCAGGGGGAAATTCTTACCAGTTCATTTTCTTTTCTTTTTTTTTTTTAAAAGATGACCGGTAAGGGGATCTTAACCCTTGGCTTGGTGTTGTCAGCACCATGCTCAGCCAGTGAGCGAACCGGCCATCCCTATATGGGATCCGAACCCGGGGCCTTGGTGCTATCAGCACCGCACTCTCCCGAGTGAGCCACGGGCCGGCCCTTACCAGTTCATTTTCTAGAAGATCTAAACACAGAGAGGTTAAGTAAGTTGCCCAAGGTCACACAGCTGGCAAGTGGCGTCGCTGGAATTAGAACCGAGGCGTTTTGGTAGCAGACGCTGCCTGCTTACCCACTAAATTGTACTGCCTCTTAATAAGCCAGCAACCTAATGAACAACTAAGCACAGGTCGTGGGACCAGCTCTGAAGGACATAGTAGGGAGAGGGGGCAGAGCTGCTTTAGGTCGCAGTCAGAGAGGGGCTCTCTAAAAGAGGTGACAGATCAAGGAGAATGAGCCAGCCATGGAAAGAGCAGGGGTGGGGGAGTAGAGGAAGGAGAGCATTCTGGGGGAGGGAAGAGCTTGTGCAGAGGCTCTGAGGTGAGAAAGAGTTTAGTGGGCACAGGAAACCAACAAAGCCCTGTGTACGAGTTCACGCACACGTGGTGGGTATAGGAAGGGTGGCAGGAGATGAGTCAGGAGGTGGACCAGCCCCTGTTCAAATGTCACCTCCGGATGTCACCTGACACTCTGGGTCAGCTGTTCCCTCCCGCAGACACCTCTCCTCACACTTAGGCCACAGTCTCGACCTTCACTGGGAGCCAAGCCCTTATGAGGCCTTACCAGGCCCCAGGGGGCCCTCTCAAAGGTATT